GTATAAACTTTTATATCGTTAAATATCTTTGTTATAGTATGGAAAATAATTAATTTTAAAACGAACGATATATAATATAAAAAAGTGAATAATTTTATAAAATTTAATATTATAATATAATTATTCTCATAATAAAAATTTATTATATCAACAACAACAAAATTCAAATTAAAATATTCTTTAAATTAAATAATTTTATTGTTAATTCTTTAACGTTTTCAGATATATTCGAAGAAGCGAAAATGATTACATTTTCCCCAAAGATGAATATATTCGTCATTTTTGTAAAAAGTAAAAATATTTTTTTTATTAGAATAACAGAATCAAACGAATGATAACTGTTTATAATAAAGTTGAAGTTGAATTTTTGGTAATAAAATGATGATATAATTGCAACATGTTTAAAAACAAGAAAAAAGTTAAAAAAATATTATACGATAATATTTATATCCTCTAGATATTATATGCCTGAATTTTTTATTTATTACATAAAAATGGAACATAAATAAAATTAATAGGATGAATTTCTTGCTCGAATGAAAATACCATTAAGAGATATAGAAGAGGCGTTAAGATGAAAATTCGATAAATATTTCGACAGTTGATCGATATAACTCGTAACTCTAATCTTATCGAAAAATATTTTTATATCCATCAGTACATCATTAAAAATTAATCACAAAGATGTTCCAATTATTTCAAACATGGAATTCGAAAAAGAGGACATTGGTGAACATTTTTATATATTATGAGATATTATAAGCTCTTCTTTTTTTTTTTTTTTTTTTATTTTTTAACTTCTCATATATACATGAATTTTTGAACAATGAAATAATTTGTATTTTAAAATAATTAAAACTCGTACAATTTGCCATAATTAATTCAAATAGATGTTTATTTATTCTGCGATATCATCTTTTGATTTTACACAAGATTTCGGACAAGAAATTAAAGATACACAAAAACAACTTTCAAAACAAAACATCACCGTTAAAAGATTAAAAGTAAGATTAAAGAAATTTTTTTTTATAGAATGTAAAATTGTTATATTGATCAACGCGCTAAAAATTGTAAAAATTTAAATTAAAAAAAAAGAAAGATTCATTTTCATATGATTTTTATATATCGATATATTTAATTATATTTAATTATATTTAAAAGAATGATCAATATGCAAAACAATAACTAATATATTAAGATATATATTTAGATTTCTCAATGTCGTTTCAACTTAATTTTTATCTTAATAAGATCTCTCTATTTTTTTTCATCATAAAAATTAAACGAGATATTCAAGGTTTATCTAACAAGTTTTATAATTTTATTCATCTTTTATGCTCCAAGGATAAAACAGATTGATTAAATATACAATAATGCACGCTTTAACCGACGCAATTTTGGCACACTTACAATTAGCTGACACGGAACCATCCTCACCAATTACTGAAATTGCCTCTACGAAGCGATTATCCGTTTTTCTCCTGTTTCTTTCCTATCCAATGGTTGTCACTCTCAACTCAATTGACGAGTTCCGATTCCTGGAACTAGCTACCTCCACAGATAACTGACCTCATCGTGGATCTGATCAGTTAAACGAGCCAAGTTAGTATGATTATGGCTTACATTTGGTTTACTTACGCAGTTAAAAGAGCCATGATTTGCGTTATTATCGTCTTTAATGTGTCCAATGATAAAATGCAATATCATAGAAATCTTGAAAATAAATATTTGAAAAAAATTATTTAACGATGGCTGGACAATCATATCATATTCTTGTCTATTTCATGCAAAAATATATTCATACATATAAATGAACGACAAGATATATTTTACAAGGAAATTCAGTTAATCTAAAATTCTAATTCGAATGAAAGTTTTATTTTTATGTAGTGCATAATAGATTCAATGCGTTGAGCAATTTTTTTTTATGATAGCAAATATCCTTAAGAAAATAAAACAAGTATCCAAGATTTTAGCTTTTTTTTTTTGTAATTTTGAAAAATTTTAATAACGTATTAAATTTATAGATAGAACATTGAATTTTAAATATTTTGTAATTTAAAATTTTATTCTATCTCGTCGTATGCTGGTAACTATGTTTATGAAAAATGAAAAGAAACAATTTTGATAATTTTGAAAATTGATTTCACGTTCCTAAAGTTCGATAAAAAAAAGAATACTACGTATACTTATTATGCTCTATAGATTATTCACAAAGCTTTATTAAAGAAAACTTTTTATTTTTTAATTTTTTAAATAATTTTTTCATTTTTAATGAAATTTTATATACGTAGAATATAAAAAGTTACTTATCGATTTAAAAAATAAAACTAAACATGAAAATTTTGGAGAAAATCTAATACACTTACATTCCAAAATAATTAATGTTAATTAACAATAAAGTATTATAAAATGTTATTTTTCTTGTCTCCTCATTAGTCTCATTCGTTCATCGATAATTCGGTTAGTTAGAACCAAGATCTATACAAATATGCTAAATAATATTCGATAACCGGTATTTTGGGTCGTATGAGCTCGTTCCAGAAGTGAGAAATATTAAACTAACAGGGGTCAACGGCCATTACACGTGTTACGATCCTCGGTAGCCGCGATCTTCGTCATCGACACGTTTTTATAATCTTTACCGGAAATGGTCAATGGACATTTCGTAATCCTTTGTAATATAATTAAAAAGAATTTCGAATTTTCAAATTTTTTAACTATTTTTGCGATGAAACGTATCAAATTATCGATCAAATTATCGAAAAAGATTTTTTAGAATAAAATTTATTTTTAGAATAAATCTCTTAGAACAAATGCTTCGAAATGTGAAAAATTTTCGAATTTAAAAACTTTTTGCTAGTTTCGTTGAAATCTAAAGAATTTAAGATAAAAAGTTTAAGATGAAGAATAATTTCTATCAATAATTTATGATGGAATATCGTGATGATTTATTTTTATTCAATTAATAATAATTGATTTAATTTAATTTGTTTAGATTTTTTTACACGTAGATTCATTTTAATTGATACGATTTTACAATTTAATCCTTTATCCAATTTAATCTTAGTTGTGTTAATAACTAAAGTGAATTAAGGAAAGTAATTTTCTTATTTATAGAATTGTTTGAAAGATTTGTAAAGAAGGAATAAATACAAATACAGAAGTTTAGACAAGCAATATTCACGCAATATTTGGAAAAATGGAAAATAAATATTTAACTTTTTGAAAGTGTGAAAAAAAATGACTATTGTTGAATCTATTGGTTGAATTATGAACATAAATTTAAAAAATTCTAAGAATTAAAATTTGTTGATATTTTACTTCTTGACAAAATAAATAACTACTTCTCAATGTAAAAAATAAAAAATATCTCAAGTTTCAAAAGTTTTGAAATTTCAAATTCTAATTTAATGTAATGTTTTATCTCTAATATTTTTTATTCTTATTTTTATTCTTAGACCAATTATTCAAATATGTATATATATTACATCGAAGTTCTCGGAATTGATCATATATGCTAATATATACAATAAATAAAAAAAAAAGTATTCATACAATTATTTTTTTCGCAATAATTTTGCATAATTAAATAATATAATATTTTACAATAAAAATTATTTCGATGAAATTTACAATTACAGATAATATACAAATAATATACAAATTATAAATTTTAATAATTAATTCTTAATAATGTGACAAAGATTATAGAGTCATAAAATAAAAAAATTTGAAAACCGAAAAAATTAAAAAGTTTTCGTGATTGTAATAACTTAATGTTAAAGAGAAACAATCTATAAAAAGTCTATTTATAATTTAATTATTTTATATAAATATTCGAACAATTTAACATTAATGATATTGAGAGAGAATATCAGAAACTTTTTCAAACCTTTTAAATTACAAAATATTTTTCGTTCTACTGAAATATACTTAACACCAAAATCAAGATTATTAAATTTTTATTGCAAAATTCAATTCAGTCATGTGAAAGAAGAAATTTTAAATGCTTACAAATTAGATTGACCATTATATATTTCTTTTCGAAATTGGAAGTTTAAATATTGACAACTTTCTAAAATTTAATTTTTTTGGAAATTTATAAAAAAGAAAAATGAAAAATACTTTGTCTACTTTAAGAGTACAATTTTTTAATGCGATATGTTGGATAATATTCAAGCATATAGATTTGTTCTCTTTAAAAATAGAATTAAACTAGAATTATAAATATATGAATATTTTTTTGTTTCGTATTATTAAAAATTTTTAATTTACATTCTTGCTATTTTATTTGTAAATAAAAGAATAATCGAAATAATTTTTATTTCTGTATCACATGTTTGAATTAAGAAAAATAGATTTTGGAAATAAAAAAATAGAAATGAATAATTTTATTCTTTAAATGATACAGGAATAGTTTGCAAACTAAGTATTCCTTTGAAACAATATTTAAATAAAAAAATATATATTTTTCATATCAACTCGTACTATTTTGAAATGTAAGAAAATAGAATTTCAAATAAGAATTTCGTGTTTTAAATAATATTATTCCGAATAAACAGTTTCTAATTTGATATTTTATAACGCGATATAATATATTAAACAGTATTGTATATAATAAACAACGTATAAGAATTTTAACACAAGATTTTTAATAATTTTAAAAATATTGAAATTTCTATCTTCTATTTTCAATAATATTAATAATATAATAATAATAATAATAATAATTTTAAATAGGATTTGTATATAAAAATATTTTAATATTTTTAATATTTCGTCTTAAACTATTTTAAATTTTCCTCAATTCTGCTTGTCTTCATAGAAACATTACAAAAGAACTTGATGTATTGTATATTGTGAGATCTTCCTTGCTAAGTCTCGATCGAATACATCCAACGCAAAACCATCGCGGTGTAAGTCGCATACGAAACGGTTGATCACCGTCTCTTTTGAATTTCGACATTGGCTGACAGCGCAAGATACAAAGTTCGCACACGCTCGAAGCAATCGATTACTCGCATTCTTTGCGCGCAATGATTCAATCGAGAGTGTACTCGTACGATTGCTGTTTCCAAAATAAAATGAATTGAAAAAAAAAAAAAAATTGAAGACTGATTTAAATTATTTGAATTTAAAATTTGATACAAACATGAACGAGGTTTATTTCAAATAATAATTTAAAAATAATTATTTCAAATAATACTATTTATTACTTGATAAATAATACGTTTCAATTGAGGTTATGTTTTTTCGATTTAATTAAAGGAATTTGAGGTAAGGCACACAGTTGAAAATAATAAATTACAGATTATTTGAAAAAATAATAAATTTATTTCTTGATGGAAAATTCGAAATAACTTTCAGAATATATTGAATAATAAATGTAATAATAATAATAATCGTAGTAATATAATAATAATTAAACAATATAAACATAATATAGATAATATAATATATTAAGAAATTAATTAAAATCGAATAATAAATAATTTATTTCTTTAAATGTTAAATAAATTATGTAATTGCAAATATTTTTATTATTTTTCATGTATAAATAAAAATAATTCGTAACTTAATATAAAGTAAAAATAAAGTAAAAATAGTCAAATAATTTTAAAGAAGTAATTTTAAAATTCTTTAAATTCCTAGATTTGATGTGAAATTATGTAACTTGGAAACTATTTCATCAATATGAAGCTATTATTTATTTTGCTTGAAATATCCTTTCAAATTTCTACGTTTGTTTTTAGTCATCAATTTACTTGGTTTCAAATCGCTTGTATTTGACTTTTTGTGACTTGAGTAACTTTGTCAATTTGAATCTGTTATGTCATTTAATGCGAAATACCGCTTAAAGTTTTAAACAATAAAGTGAATAAAGTTGGATTAAACGAAGTTTTAGCTTTTCTTGTCTTCAAAACGATAAGTTTTAAACAAACAATATACGTAATCTTGAATTTGTATTGAAAATTTTAAATAAATTTTGGCAAATCTATGCTATTGAAAATAAATAATAAAAATGGATTAGGATTAATGAAAAAAATTTTTAGAAATTTATTTGTGTAGAGTTATGTTTAGAATTATGATTTATGAAATAATGTATAAAATATATTGAAATTGGAATGTGAAAAATGGTAATATGGTAATGGTAATAATGGTATAATGAGATGATGATATGACTTGAAAAAAAAAATAATTTAACAATACATTCATTGAAAATTTTTCTTATTATTATATATCATTATAGATATTTCAACCATAAAAATGTAATATAATTAAATATCACTGTTTTCGATTTTAGATTAGATTAGATTCTAATCTATCTAATCTTTCAAATTAAATTACTTGAATTCAAATAATTTTTCCTTGTTTAGATTAATCAAATTATTTGAAAATAAATTTGAAAGTTTTGTTTGCATTATATTTTCATGCAATGTAAGTTGATTATTTTTCGTTAATTATAAATTTCTAAAAATTTGATTATATTATAAGTTATGTAACAAGTTTATTTGTATTTATGACTAAAAATGTTTTGTTGGTTTGATTAACTTTTTCCGCTTAATCGTATAATCAATGAAGTGAAAAATAGTAAACAATGTATTTATATTTTACTGAATCAATTGAAAAAATTTAAGTAGATAAAATAGACATCCAGTTACATCCAGAAAATGAATTATTTTTCATCAGATTTATCTTTATTTAATTTTTATTTATTTATTTGAAAAATTTTTTCAATCGAAAATCGAACAAAAGCAATATCTTTATCTTTTATATATATATATATATAAAAAAAAAGAAATTTTATAATAAAGAAATATTTAAATATTTCTTATAAGATAAAAAATTATAAAATAAAATAACATCGAAGATTATGTAAATTTTATATAAAATTGTTATTATTTAATTTTATATAAAAAAATACGAATGAATATAATTTTATATATGAATATAATTTTATAAATTAATTATAAATTTCTAAAAATTTCGAAATTTTTTTATTGCTTTATTTCTTCACTCATTAAAAGTTAATATAATTATTTTTCAATATTATACAATTGACAGCTTGGTCGAAGTTCATACACCGTGTTAATTCGCAGTTGAACTCCAATTTCACTTCAAGCTTGAAAGAACATTTCAAAGTGAGATAAATAGTTCATAGTAGTCAAGTAGTTTTGAATTCTAGCTACTTGAAGCAAATTACTTGACTAATTTGAATTACTGAGAACGGAGTAGAAATTGGGAAAAAAAATCAAGTTAAATGAAATAAGTGGCTCAAATTTTTCAAGTTGCCTCATTATTTGAATATAACTAATTTGACTAATTTTAGTGAGGCTTTAAGTTACCTAAATTAATAAGTAACTTAAGTAGTAAATATTTTGAAGTAGTAAATATCTAAGATGAATTAATGAAAATCGAAGATGTTTGTTAGAATATTTATAATAACAAAAAAAATGTTGAATCTATTGTTAGATATATTGTTATATATTATACATCTCATTATTTTATCATATGTCATTATATTTTCATTTTCTATATTTTGATTGTAATATATATTTCTTTCATTATTTGTTGAACTTTATTATTATTACATTTCTAATAAATTGCTATAAATTTCCAAATTTTTTCTTTGCCTTAATTGTAATTCATTTTAGATATATATTTGATATATCTTTTCAGACAATATTGCATTAAACAAAATAGTTAAAGATATCTGGAAAATAGATCAAATAAGAACAAACTCCTTATTTTAATTTAATTTTTAATTTTTTTATATTACTAATTTTAACAATAAATGGTTATCGTAAAATAACTGTTTCGATCATTAAAAATTAAAACGAAATTACAACGAATATTTTTCTTCTAATTTTTTACTTACTTATTGTATTATATATTAATAAATTTATCGATATATTTCGTTGTTATATAAGTTGACTTTTGAGAAAAAAAAATATAAAAAAAAATAAAGTAATTAATCATTATCTTTCAGGTTTTAATAGAATTTTCTGATTTCATTATATCAAAACTTTTTAAGCTAATTCGAAAATGTTATTAGTTTTTTAATTATCAAATATTAAATTTATGTTAATTTATAATAAGAAAGATATTTTATTTCAAGTTATAATAAAAATATCTATTATTAAATATTATTTATATTATTTATTATTTATTTACTTGTCATCTATTATTATTTATTATCAATATTTAATATATTATCGTTTTAAATTAATTAATAATTATTATCACTCAATATTATCAAAATTAAAAATTATTACTAATCATTTAAAATTATGAAAATTTTTTCATTGCCTCAATTATAATTCATTTTTATTTTAGATATGTATTTATAGATTTTTATTAAATTTTATGGATTTTTTATTTTACAATATTCATTAAAACAATTTTGATGTAATTATATATATAATATTCAATTGATTTATTTTATATATTTATTATTTTAAAAAAAATTCATTTCCACTTATAAGTAAACCAATCTATTTAATTTTTTATTTTACTAGAGATATTTTACTAGAAAATTTATAATTTAATAAATTTGTGCATATATATCTTTTCAGACCATACTGTCCTAAACAAAGTAAATGATAGTTGAAAATATTGATCTGGAAAATAGATCAATGAAGAAGAAATATATTTTTTCTTTTTAAAATTTTATGTAATAGATAAATTAAAATTTTTTATAATAGATAAATTTCAGAACATTTTGTTGTTAATTATTCGTTATATTTTATTATTTGTATATTTTCATTTCATTGTAATTTTATTGATATGACTTCTTTTTCCGAGTAGCAATCCGAAGTATAGTAGAGAAAAATAGAAATCTTGTTTACAAGCGATCAGAAACTTAGTGAATGACCTAATGCAATTTACTTTTCAATAGTTTGCATTTGTCAGATTGCTTGAAATTCATACCCAGCACAAATTCTAATACCGTTCAAAGTGTATCATTTTAAATTAAGAAAACTTGGAAGAATTTCAATTTCACATAAAAATGCAAAAAATATTTTAAATCAAGGTAAATAACAATTTTATATTGATTTAAAGATATATATATATATATATATGAATATATGAATATATACGATTTAAAAGTCAAGCTAATTAATGATAGAATAAAAATTAAATGGATATTTTAATTTAATAATATTATTCTTAATTAAAATGTTTTATCTAGTATTTTAAAATCTACGTAAAAACAGAAATTTTTGTTATTTTTTTCGTAATGTCCTTGTCAAGTGAAAATAAATTATGGCTGATACATCTCTACAAAGCATATAAAGTTTCTAATCTTATTTCTAACCTTTTCAAAATTTAAATGATGGATAATAAAATTTAAAAATATTTCATACCTTTAGATACTTTGAAAAATGAGAGAATACTTGATAAAACATTTTGAATGAAGATAAAATAAAAATAACAAGAAGTTTCAAGTTCGTTGAATAATTTGACTAAATCTTTGAACAAGATTTAATCAGAGTTGTCACACGTAGTTGTCACATGTTGATCATCGTAACACAGCCTATTCTCTCGAAAGTTCGACTCACGAGGTCACAATGCTACACACCGTCTTCAAGGATTCTGTAAGGTCGAACGCGTGACGTTTGCGACTCGGTAGATCGTGCTTCGCATTTTCGATGTATGCTTATTCCTGTATTGCGTTTCTTTCTTTTTCGTTTTAACCAAGCTCGTGGTTTCCTTGGTCACGAACGATGAAAACGCCACGGTATGGCGTCTAACAACAAACAATTCACGAATCGATCGAGTCGTGCTAGCCGTACTTCGCGTTTTAGGTTAGGCATGCGATTCAAAGCTTTTGCTTCGTATAGAAGTCGAAAAAGTAGGACTATGCTCGTTTCGAAGGTCGCAATGCGTACCACTTACGTGTCTTTCGCGCTACGTGATTGAAAAATTAACCAAGGGAATCGACAACGACCGTACGAATTGATATTTTGCGACGATTCTTCTTTCCGATATTGAACTCTGAATCAACGCACTGACTAACACGTCTCGCGCTATCGATTCTATTCCAGTCGTTTTTCGATTCGAGTTCTCGAATCGATCGAATCCAAAACATTTCACTGCAATGACAGAATTCATGCAGTACGTATTTTTCGATTCATCTATTCCTTTAGATTAATCATTGTCGAGCAATGAGCGGTAAGTATACATGGTCGACAAGTATAGTATTTATTCGTTATAATATACTTGGAACCGATTGCGAGCATATACTGCATATGTATGTAGTTGCCAAGGACATACAGTTCTAGCCTTATTTTATCTTGTTGGTAAACGATCGTATGACAGCTAGTGAAAAACGAAGAAAGATCTAGAGCCAAAGTATTTAAATTTATGTTTTATTATTTTAGTGTGATATTATTTCATTGTGTCCAAAGTGAAAAGTAGGGATGATCTTTAAGCGTACATATATTCACGAAAAGAGTGCGAGTATATATCGAATAAATATTATATCTTTATTTTAATAATATTTTTGTTCGAAAGCGTTGTACATGCGAAATTATTTATAATTTGTAAAGGGAATCCGATGAGTCTTCCGGTGCAACGGGAGGCATAGAGAACGTGATACAACGTGACGCGATTTGAATTTTTTCTTTCATTCTCTTCGAGTACACAGCGCAAGCGTTTGCAATGCGAGACCTTTAAGTTCAATTTAGCATATTTATAACTATTACTGTGCTCTTTAACGTCAATGCTTTTATTGAAATAAACATTTTTTTTATTTCGTTTCTATATTTCAATGAACATTATATATTCAATGTATAATTTAATATTTTTTTCTATTGATAGAATTTTTTGAGATATAGTAATAATCATGAAAAACTTAATCATTTATTATATTTTATACAAACATATTGCTGGATATTTTATTAATTAATGGATTTTTAAACAAAAAATAAAAACTATTAAGTTCATTTGTAAATTAACTGTTTTCTAATAATTTAAACATATTTTATAGATATAATATATACTTTTCATTTTAAAAAATAAAAATATCTTTTTTTAAATTTCATTCATTGAACAATCTTTTTGATAAGATTTGAAAAATGAATTTAAAAAATTATTTTCAAAATTAAAAAAAAGTCAGAGTTTTTTTCGAAACGAAAGAGTTTTTTATTTCGAATAAATAAATTAATAATAATAAAAATTATTTTAAAAATTATCTTCAATGTGTTAAAATTTTATTATGCAAAAAACTAAGTCAAGGATACAAAATAATAGATCGGGGCATAATAATTGATCACAAATACGCTCTAAAAAATTCAGATAGCTGCATGCAGATTCTAAAAATATAATTAATTCAGGATTTTTATCATTAATTTTTTTCATTCGTTTTCACATGTTTATTAAATGTTGCAACAAAAGAGATAAAAGTTTCGATTAAAGTAATATAAATTTCAAATGAAGAGTAATTATAAATATTCAACTAATTCCATAGATAAAACTCATCAATAGTAAGGGAAATACTTCAAATTGCTTCGAATCTTTAAAAAGCAAAAAATTTGAATCATTTTGGACATAATTCAAAGTTTTTTTAAAAATATTGATCATAATGAAATTCAGTAAAGCTCGTTAAACAATATTTTAAAGATTTTTTTTTAAAGATTATCTGGAAAGCTGTTATAAATAAAGTATTAACATAAATATATTTATTTATTTTAATAAATATAATATCAATCTATAATATATATAAAAAATGAAAAAAAAAATGAAATAATATAGAAAAGAGTATACAATGATGAGAGCAAAATTTATAAAAAATATAAAATTTATAAAATTATAAAATTATTATTAATAACAAATATAATAACAAAGTTATATTAATATTATATGTAACATTATTTTATATTCTTTTTTCACATTTTCTGGATATCAGCGTTCGTAATTACTAACATATACTATATATGAGATATATTAGTTATAATAATTCAAACAAATATATTTATAATAAATATATTATCTTTCTTTCAGATTTTTTTTAAAATATTTTATATTAATAATATTATTTTGTATAAATTGATAAATTTTTAAAATTAAAGTTTTTAAATTTCAAAACTTTTAAAAACTTTAGGCTCATCGAATCATGTTCCAAGTATTTATACGATTCAAATTTATCGTTACATACATACAGATTCGAAGCGGTCGAGGTGTTTCAGATACCATCATTACTCACCGGACAAAGCTTGAAATGAAATCGCGTAATTCGAAACTCCAATGAGCCTTGTCGGTACAAGGTTTTCGACCGTCACGTAATACTAACACAAACACATACAATCAGGTCTAAACCATGGAGCATAAATTGACCTTAATTTGCTGTTTTGATACCAGGGGCAGCAGTGGCCGTTGGAGCGTTAATGATCATCGCTGCCGCGATTTTGGCGGCCGTTTTTCCAAAATTGGTCGACGTTTTGATGAATAGAGAGATCGCTCTTCGAGATGGTAGCCGTACATTCAACTGGTGGAGGAAACCGCCGGTGACGCCTCGGCTCAACGTATACATTTACAATGTAACGAATGCCGATGAGTTTTTGAACGATGGTGAGAAACCAGCGCTTGTGGAACTCGGTCCGTACGTGTACTTGCAACAATGGGAAAAAGTGGAACTGAAATTTAACGACAACGACACGTTGACATACAAGATGAAAAAGATCTACAATTTTGCACCGGTAAGTTTTATTATTTTTATCTCTTAATCGTTATTTATTTCTTTCTATATATTGATGATTTTATCACATAAATATTGTACGTTCGATATTTTCGAGAAAAATAGGTTTAGGTTAAGAATATTTTCGTGAAATCGTAATCTCGATTGTTTATATTCACTATTTTTTTTTATTATTCTCGAAAAATCTGAAAAAATTATAAGATACTTATTAATGTCATTATTTTATAATATAATTGTTTGTTTAGTCAAATATTTAAAAAGTTAGGAAAAATAAAAATCCCTTCGAATATCAGAATAATATCTAATGATTTTCAGGTTAGATAGGATATGTTGCAATATAATATGTTCTTAAATAAAATTATAGATATCTTTTTTAAATAAAATAATATTTATAATATTTATTTATAAATAATATCTATGTTCAATTTCATAAAGATTATCACATGATTTATTTATATATATACAATTTTTCTATTAATATAATTATAGATAAAAATTTTTACAAGTAGAATCTATTTGTATGATAGATATTTTGTTAAAGAAAATTGAATTTGCCATAAAAAATTAAGATATTTTTAATACTTTCTTATTTTTCTGGAAAAAAAATTAACAATATTCTGAATTCTTCAATCATCATATTAATTTTTGCTAAAAATTTTTTTTCCATTTTTCATAACAACAATTGCAAAGAGAATTGTAATTCATATAAAATCTATATATTACAGAAAATAATTGTAATAATCGTAATCATTGAAATCATAACAAAGAATAATCTAATAATTTTATACAACATTTGTAATCTATATTAATGTTTAATTATTAACCAGTAATTCTATAATCACTTAAATGTATATGCACGTTTATTATTGTTTATTGTTATTATAAAATCTAAATGTTAAAATCTAAAAGAGAAAATAGAGAAGATTTTAAAAAATAGTAGTAGCTAAAATAATCTCAATTGAAAATTTTAGCAAAATATTAGTTAAAGATTCGGACAAAAATAAAATTATTTATATATAGAGTGTTACTATTCACTTTTGGAAAATAGAGACCAAAATAAATATAAAAATATCGGTTGAGGTTACATATTAAATTATAAGCAGACTGTGAAAGTTTATGCATTTGTGAAAATATAAACACAGACTACATATACTATATGTAAAAAAACATAAAATATCTAACTTTAGTGCATGTTATAATATCCGAAATATGAAAAAAATTTAATTTCAATTCTATTTTTACAATTGTTTTCATAAAAAATTCAATTTACATGAATAACCTATTGCTAGGATCTAGGATCTGTAAACATTTAAAGTTTGCAAACATTCAAATGAATTTTTGTCTCCCTCTATACCAATCTCACATTTATCTAATGTAAATTAAAATTCTTTATAACTTAACAAATATGTTTTAGTCGACATTTTAATATTTTTATAATTTTTATATTTATTTTGGCCTTTAGAATCGAGTTTTCAAAAATTTTACAATTACAATTAATATCTTGTATATAAATTTATATATAATTTAATAATAATTTTTATATCTCAATGTTTCATTAATGTAATAATTGATTTCGAGAAATTTCATTCAAATTCTGATTCGAATTGATACTTAATTTTTATTTTTATAAAAATTTTCTTTTCTTTCAAGAGATTTCAAAATATTTATATTAAGCAACTTTTGATCGAATATATATATATATATATTTTTTTTTTGCAATAATTAATACAAGACTTCTGATCCCTCCTGTTATATTACTTCTTGAACTAGATTTATATGAGGTAATTTACAAGCCGAGTTGCTCAATTTCAGTTATTTATTTTACCCGATCGAAATTTACACGATTCGTTTTGAACGATTCGAGGTCAACCGATTTGCATGATCGATCGAAAGTTGCTTAATGTAAATATGGCTTTAATGAACAAAATTGCAGATCGGCAATACGTGTTAAAACGGTGAATAATTTATAAATTGATTTAATATTAGCAATTTTCGTTTCATCATAGCGGAATAGAAGATATATATCACAGTTTTATTAATATTCAGATTTAGAATTTTAAATTTTAAAAGATTAAAAAAAAATTGTTTTCTACTTTTCAAACGTGTGTTAATTTATCACGCAAAATATAGATAATAATAAATTTAGAAAATATAATCACCTTACTACACGCGGTGAAAATTGTTCGAAAATAGAAAATTAAAATTACTATTTTAGAAAACCTGATTGCATTTACTATTTCATAGATATAATAAGTAATTGCACTTATTATTTTATCGCTTTTTGCGATTAATTGAAAAATATTGTTGCCATTATATATGAATTGTCTCGTCAACAGAGGCATATATGTTATATTTTCTCGTTTATAAATTTATCTCCACAAATTTTAACTTGAAATTCTACTAGTTTTCGAAGTATATGCCTTTAGAAACATCTCTCATTTCCTGTGACCCAGTAAAGCGAGCGAAATCGAAGAAGAAACTGTAACAATTCTCAGGATACTTAGCTTCTCCCTCGTTTCAGACTCTGTGACAGTTATTCAAGCACTGCTAGACGTTAATACAAGGTGTATCATCTGATTTTGATATCTTGATTTTCTCAGCGTTATTACTTACAAATTGAAAATGAAATTTATTAGTAGTTCTTTCGTGAGTGAACGTGTAAAGGTCATATAAAGGTCAACTTTTCTTTTTTTTTTTTTTTTTTTTCTTAAGTGGAATTTTTCCAATAAATCAATCGATATTTTCTATAAAAATGTATTGTTAAATTATGTAAGTTAGTTATTAATTATTCTCTATAAAAACATTTATGTAAAAATTATTAGTTTAAGAGATCCTTAAATTTGAATTTTGTAAAATTTATTTTATATTGAGAGATAAGGAAACAAACAAGTGATCAATTAATTAATAACACTAGAATATACATTTTTCAATATTTTTCAATATTATTCAAATTTTAACTAAAGCATTTTTCGTTATAAATTATAATACTGAAAAAATCAAGATGTCTAAACGAAATGAGACATCCTATATATATATATATATATACATATATGTGTATACATATTCATAAGAAGATTTTTAAAAGATTAATTTTAGAGGCCGAAACAAATATAAAAGGTATATAGAAAAATGTCAATTGAGGCAAATTAGTTGTCGCCATTTTGCTTTATTTAACATAAATATGGAAAATTTAAGCCTTAAATAAGTCCTAATTTGCATTTTTATATCAACTTTTATCTTTATTTTTAATTTTTAAAATAATTTTCCAAAATCACAAATTCCACGAATATATTGACATTCTGAAAAAAATCATTTATTTACTTGAGAAATAAAAAAGCAATTTTACTACTACATTTGGCAATAAATTTTTAAATCAAATGCAATGGTATGAAATTGATGAAAAATATCAAATTTTTTTTTTCTTACATAATGTAATAATTTTTTTCTATGCAAATAAAAAACTTATAATAACGTTAAATTGATCTAGAAATTGTAAAATACAATATAAAAAATAATTAGGATATTTTTTATTATTCTATTGAAAAAAAAAAAAAAAGGAAGAAATAAAATGTTGCTTGGAAAAAAATGTTTGATTTATCGTAATTCTGAAAAAATTATTTTGCAATTGATATAAGATATTGAACAGAAGTATAACGTTAACGTAATGAATGATAATTTATTTGAAATTTATACATCTAATTGTTTTTATGAATCTTGATTTAATAAGTTTTAATCACATTTTGCCGATGCGATTTCATTCCGCAATAATTGTTGTATATAATTGTGTGTAATAAAATCATTTGTTTCTATATTTTTTCATCTGAATAAACTTTTTCCATAATTAATCTTTTCGCTCATAAATTAATTGATTTTGCTTATAAATTGACCAATTAAAGAATTAATTATGTAAATAATGTTTCATTTTGATACATCAGTAGTAATTCCTATTATTACATTGAAAATAAAAATCCTCGAATCAATTTCCTCATATTTGATATGAGAAAATTTTAAAATCTGTGTACATACGTATACACGTGTATATGTGTATATGCATTTCATAAAAATGCAGAATATTTCCATCATAATCCACCTTTTGAAGGATTCTAGACGTCGAAACGATGAAAAAAGTTCATATGTCGATCATATATCTTAATTAACGAGTTATAAGTATTTTAAGTTTGTGTATTAAATAGAGTGAGACGACAAAAAAGCGAGAATGCTCAGCAATAGGATGCGTAGCAGTAGCGGTATTCCAATGTCACTTGCGTGGCAATGAAAATAAATACATTTTTTTTTATGTATAAATGATTATTATTTTATATAATATGTACTCTTTATTTAACAAAAACTTGCCTCGAATAAGTTTTAATAAATTCCAAAATGTTAACACGTATATCACTTTTATTTAAATCCATAGGTAAATCATTTTATGATGCAAACATTTTATTTAAATCCATAATTGTTGTATAATATTTATACAATCTGTCTATTCACTGAAATTCATAAGAATCCATAAGAAAGCACACTTTCATAAGATTTAGATAAGAATTAAAAAAGTTGAATGTGTTTTTGTATGCATAATTGTTTTTTTTAACTAATTATTTTCACATCTACAAGAAAGCCTAAAGTATTAATGATACTCGAGTCAATTTGAATTTCAGATTATTAAACATGATATAATCAAATCATTGACAAATTTTTATCTTTATTTCATTCTTGCACTCAATATTTCTTATTTTTATGCTAGAGAGAAATAATAGTAGATCTGGATATCACATATCAATAATATGAATTAATATTACACATTAATATCACGTATCCATAAAAAATGCATACAATTGTTTTTTTTTTATGTATGCTCGAATGAATATTACAAATTCATCAATTTCATTTTTTACACTTTATTTCTAATATCGAAACAAGAACAAAGCAACACTATTTTAGCAACGAGAAAGATTGTTGTGACCTAGGCTTTCGTTATTCTTATATTTAATATAAACG